ATATTTTGTATTACGCTACGTATTACTATACACTACACATTGGCTTTAGAACGTCGCTTTTAGAGACCATTAGATGTTTTTGATGTTACGAAATAAGGTTCTTTATCTTTTCTATGAATTACCCAGATAAATTGCAACAACGTGCAAACAGCAGCTTGAAAGATCTTCTGTATTTCTTGTCACGTATTCCATATATAAAAGCATTTGTCACGGAGTTTGTTGCAGCCACAAGTGCTGTTATATGAACTACGTTTAAAGAAATACAGCCATCATTACAAATGGTATAATCTATGAACAATATCACAGGAAAAGGTGTTACACAGAGTAAAAAATATCCAAAAACGACACGAATTGTTTTGAAGAGTTTCAATTGTCGTGTGAAGTTTTTTCGTGAGCTCAAATCATCTGTAGCGGTTGAATTACTTCTTTGTAGTTTTGAACCTTCTGATGCTATTTTTTGACCTTGGTTTCGAGCAATTCGTACAATTTTCACATTGAAAACGATCATAACACCAAGTGGAAGAAGAAAGAATAAAATAGTGCAAATTGAAACAACTACTTTGCTTGGATAACATTCAAATGGTAATTTGGAACTTTTTGTATTGAAAAACATCATAATAAAACTAAGAAAGCCAGTGATCCATACTGAAGCCAAAGCCATGGACACCTTCCTTTGGGTGACAATGTGAGGATACTTTAGGGTAATGCAATACAAATGTAACGATCAATTGTGAGCATCATAAGATTCACAACTGATGTCGATATGGTCGCGTACCAAAGGGAATAGTTCAGTTTACATAGTACAACAGATAGTTTGGTTATTCCTATCAAAAATTTAGTTACTGTTACGATAGTCAGCGGAAGAGTGATCCCACAAACGATAAGATCTGAAACAGCCAAACTTATAATAAAATAGCTGCTTGCATTTTTATCTGTATTCCAACGAACATTGTACAATATCACAAAAATGTTTCCTGTAACTCCAATAATTACACACAATGATTGACCCGTTACTTCAAATACTAAAAACGCTTGGGACTGCTCATCATTTGTATGATTCATTTCTTTTGCACACTCTTTATTGCCGTCTCTTAGTACGATTGAAGGAACAGCTTTATATAGTTTCACTTTATTCCAAAGCCATCATCAGAGTATATATATAATACATTAATCCTTAATATAGTCCTTAAGGATTAATATCCTTAAGGATGAATATAGTTTCACTTTAAGTTGTCAAACACCAGCTGAACTGTGCGCATCATGGCAACGCATCAAAACAACGCAGATGTGTCCTTAAAAGTTCATTTAGATGACAAATAATGACATAAAAACATTGTTTTACGATATTTTGACAATTAAAGCATTTTAAGTAAAATTATTTTAAAATGTAGAGTTTCAAGTTGAAAACTTTCGAGTGTGTAATGTCAGTGTGTTAAAAACGACACGATGGATATATTATTCATGGGGTTTTGGTTATTGCTATGAAAAATTAATAACTTATGAAATTTTCTAATTTTTAACAATGTAGAGGCGCACATGCAAAAGTTTCTCTACAGGTTGTTTATACTATCTTAATGGAAATGTCTTGTTGCAAACCCCCTGTGGCTTTTTTAGTGAAAATATGTTAAAGTAAGATATATTTTCTGTTTTTGTTCATATAACTAAATAGCTGTTTCCCGAGTTCGAGGTTTTCTTTAGTTATTACAAGCAATCGTTGAAAAAGTAAAGTATATATTAACAATAAAATAGAGACTTTGTCGTGGTAACAAATCTGAAAATATTTTTAAAGATAGAAAATACCATTGTGAATGGTAAAAGTAATATAATAAGTTGATAGTTCTTAAAAGAACTGTTTTTAGAAAAGAGCACTAACCCAATAGTTCTAAATTAAACGACATGATGCATGTGAGCCGACTACTCCTAAGGTGTCAACGTATTGAGCTGATTCTTATTCAGACGACAATTTTAGAATCATTAAGAAATACCGTTCATTTTTTCAGTTAAGCGTCATGAAAGATGTTTTAATTAAGTTAACCAATCCCGTCCTCCGCCGACAAAAGGATTATGTTTTTAATTTATCCCTGTTTTAAGCGTCATCTTCGCTTTTGGACATGGCATTATAAATATCGGTAGATTGTAAAATATCATTTAGCAGACGTTGACACTTGAGGTGTAGTCTGCCGAAGTGCATCATGTCGTTTAATTTAGAACTATTGGTTTAGTGCTCTTTACTTAAAACAGTTCTTTTAAGAACAATCAACTTATTACTTTTATCGTTCACTATGGTATTTGCGATGAAAATATATAAAATGAAAATATAAAATCTACTAATATTTATAATGCCAAGAAAGAGTGTACTTCATCACCAAAAGGAGAGATGACGCTCAAAACAGCGATTAATTGAAAACATAATTTCATAAAATTTCTTTTAGAACTATTGGGTTAGTGGTCTTTACTTAAAACTGTCTGTTAAGAACTACTACCTTATTACTTTTACCATTCACTATGGTATTTGCTATCTTTAGAACTAAATATTAACACTAAAAATAAAGTCTCGTAGCTATAAGAACATGATATGACTTCGTGTAGAGATGTTAGAATCATTTTTTGCATATTGTGCATACGAAGATAAATGTCCAACTGTGTAATGAGTTAACGCTGACACATCATTACTACCTCTACACTCCCAATGTGACAATTCAACGAAATTAGGACAGTTTGAGAAATTTTTCGCAATTCGCAATTTCAGAAATGTTTACTGTTGTTTACGTGTTACGAAATATGTATAAATACTAAATGTTTTGTAAATATGCATATCATCAAAATTAAAAAGACGAAACTATGATTGTAGAATTATTTTTTAACTCCGACAAATAAACTTCTTTCAATAGAGTTATATAATTTATTGCCCGCGTTTTACGAAGGAGATCACGCGACAAAATTTTGTGTTTTTAGAGCTCTTGTTTGTCGTGCGACCAGCGTGTTAAACAATATTGAGCTACGTTTATCCTGATATTTTGAACACAAGATGTGTTTTTAAAAGTTTATTTAGATGGACTTGTCGTCGTTTGAAAATAACAATATTTTTAAAGAAGTATTTTAAAGTGCATTCATTTATATTTTATAAATGTTTACGTTTCAGGCTTAAAAATTCACGAATGAAATATAAATGCATCAAAAAAAGAAAGAATAGTTGTATCTTGTTTGTGATGCTATAGTTGTTGCCATGACTATGAACGGTTAGTCGAGTGGACTAACATGCTCGAGTGCATGCGCAGATGATTTCTATATTAAATTGTTACTAAGCATTCTATAACTCCAAAATCGGTACTAGTAGATGCAGTTGATCGTTGCCATGAACATGAACTTCGGCAGCTGCTCAAGTCGACAGCGCATGCTCAAGCACACTGCGCATGCGCAGATTAATAATCTGAAAATTTATGACTGAGCGCTCTTATTACTCCATAATCGGTACTAATACATACAGTTCGTCATTGTCATGATAATGAACTTGGAGAGTTGGTGCAGTTGATTACACATGCATGCTGAGATTAATTCTCAAGCGATGGAGCTCTGAAATTGGTGCTTATAGGTGCGTTTACCAAACTTTCAACCATATATTTTTTAAACGTACTTTGTCTTCTTAAGATTGTTTTGAGAAGTGCTTATTAAACTCGTCAACACTTTGTTACGCCACTCGTAATATTTGTGACAATGTTAGTGATTTTTTTAATTTTTTCCATAACTTTGTATCTTAATATTTTGTGCATAAATTATGCTCTAATATTTTTCACAGATATTATAATTCGTCGATTGCGGTAGAAGAATACTTGAAAATGAAATTCTAACTGTGAAACAAAATCAAGCATGGCAGAGAAGGAACAACGACGCCAGTTTAAATGTAGCTTTATGAAATTGAACGTAGCTCATGCACATATCGTACGCTCGAGGGTTTTGGATGAGGACTCGTTGACCAATGAAAACACGAATGATTCCAAGCATGTCGACGACAATAAAAGCTCTAACAAGGACGATGCTCATATACAGAAACAATCCGTTAGTAAGAAGGAGTCTACGGAAGATATGTTTAAAAGAACAATCATTGAATCGTATATACATTTTGGAAGCTCGTTGGCTCACGTGGAATATAGTAGTGGAACTGTTCATGATGTTGCTGAAAATATGTAAAATAACTGCCTGAGACTTTTCTTTAGGACGAGGAATCTGATTTCGAAAGTGAAGAGGAAGCAATCACCACAAGAAACTTGCAAGAAGATTCAATGTGTACTCTGCAAGCTTTGTATACACATATAGAGTATTGTGAGAAGAGTACTCTAAGGAATGCTGTTGAAGAGGGATAGTACAAGGACAACAGGGAATGCCGTGGATTCTCAGTTTGATTGTAGAAGGATTAGTTCACGTTTATTCACAGGTATAGAAAAAAATATGAAGAATTTTTATTTATCTCAATAAATATATATAAAGACTTAATATTTGCTGTTTTTCTCTAATTTTTTGCCAATTGGGTACGATTCAAGCAAACGCATTTTGACATGTTTGGTTTTCTATTGTTACAATTGTGAAATTTCATTTCAATTTTCATATCGACTTAAATTATTTTCAACTGAATTAAATAAGATAAAATGAAGGACAGATATATAAAATTTGAAAATACGTTACATTTTCTTTTGAAAAATCTTTAAAATCATCAGTGTTTGTAAAAAGACATGGAGAAACTAATTTTTTCTATCAATCAGAAACCATATTTTATAATTCCATTTTATGTTGTTGCCTTGATCCTTTTTATCTTATTCTTCTCTGGGATATCAGTTTTAAAGATAGAGGATCCTGTCCGACGTAAAGTTCAAACTGCTTCTGTTATTGGAAAGAACGACACAAGAGGTTTTGAGCTTTCTCCACCTGAGGTGGACATGGGGTACTTAAAGAAGGTCACACGTATGTACATTCGGTGATATTAAGGAACATTGGTATTGATATCTGTAGATTCAAAGTACGACAACCTCCTCCATCGACTGGTATCAAAGTTTTGTTTAATCATGGTCCTGTAAGTTTTTTGTTTTCAATTAATTATATATTCTTAAATACCCTTTCTACTGATTATAATCCCCTAAGTATACCCCCTTTACCCTCAGTATAACCTATTGCGTGTGTATAGTTCACTATAAATTAGCATCAATGATAATTTCAAGGCATACGACTCAAAATTTTGCTATTTAAATTATATTTTCACTCAAAAGGATTTTGAAAATGACAGCGTATTTTCTCAAACAGTGTACGTACATTGCTTCTCATTCTCAAGATATTGAAGTTTTTATAATTCGCTTTACACAAATTTTTACATCAATTTGCATTTAACAAAGTTTTAAGCATCCTTTGGTTTCGTTGAAATGATCAAGCAATACTTAATACCATTAGGGAGAGAATGAAGGGAATTCAACTCTGTTGAAGTAAAATATCAGCAAATGTACCTGCTATTTCAAATTTCCGTTATGCAATGTGACGTCACATGCTGTGTAAAGCGTACAGTGCATAAACCACAATATCTTGAGAACGAAAATTGATATGAATAAACTGTTTCGAAGATTTTATTACATAAATTATAAATTTTATTTATATCTTCTTGTGACCCGAAAGTTACAATCGCTTTCAAAATTATAGCATCATAGAAGATGATTACATGAGCCCGCGGTAACTGGAGTTCAGAGAGGCGGAAATGATTTGGAGTCATCGAAAGGAGCAAAAATTTTAAGCGCAAAACTTTTCTTAAGCGTAGTTGTAATTTTCAAATCATGCACAATCATTTGTTTTCATTTTAAAGATTTTGTAAATTTGCAAAGTCAGAGCATAAAGAAATTGCTCAAACAAGTTTTTTGTCGTGAAGTATTTAATCTTTCCATTTGCCAAAATGATTTAACGCTTCGCTGAATCCCGGCTACCGGGCTCATGTGAACAGGCCCTTAAATTTGTATTCAAGTTGTATTTACTCGTTTTTAGTGAATTTTGACTACCATTTACGGTGTTCAAAGCGTGTATTGTTCATGGTCAGCGAGGGAATAAAGAAAAGAATAAAGCTATTTAATTGTGAAGTCTGTGTTTTAATTTATTCACTGAACATATGTATGAATTTGCTTTGCAAATACATATGGTAGTTTTACTGTCGTCAAAGTTTTCGATGGTTCATAAAAAGTTTTCACAAGTTAGTGGTAAGACGTGACCTTTGTGAAGAAAAGACTGTCAACACAACAAGATATAAAATGGAAGGATGGAATAAGCTAAAGCTTAAAATAACAAACTTCTAGAATGTGAAGAAAATAGCGAAAGATTTACTTGTGTCTTAAGTATTGACGATGTAACAGTCGAAGAAGATAGCTATTAACAACTGGCTTGGTAAACTTGCCCTCGAGGTAATGTCATTTTAATCAACTGTAAAGCGGAAACTTCCGGCCATTAACGTTTTCCACTCACCAGAACTGTGAAGAACTCAAGTGCTGAAAAGTCAACGAAACAAGTTAACGCAATTTCTACACTCGACTGGCAAAGAAAATGAAATGTTGAAATAAGGCGTATTATCTTTAATGCTGATTAAGGATGCTTAGTCCAAACGTTCCTCGTAAACATATTGATGGTTTGCAAAGGTTTGTGGGATGGAGTGAAGACAACCGTGGTGTCGATTTTTATGTATTACAGGACAAGCAGGGTTAAGGTTTTGAAGAAGACACCAGTTATTATCTTTATTTTCCCTCTCACATTTGTTACTGTTTCAGGTTCAAGACCAATCGTCGATAACATGAGAATGTTCATAGTTGTAAAATCATTAATCACCTGTCCCAAAGTCTTGGTTTTTGGTCATGTTGTTTAATATAAACCTTCAGACAGTTTACATTGCCAAACCATTTCACCAGCATCCATCAATATGGCGACTTCGTCTATTTCAACGTGAGAGACATGACTTTGAAGATATGCAAAAAGAGATCAAAATTAGCAAGTAAATTGGTTAAAAAGGTAATCACTGTTTAATCATAAAATAGTTATTCATATTCATGACGCGAGATTGACTTTATACATTGTTATTACGTGAAGAAACATATTATAGTATTACTAAGCAAAATTCAAAATAAGGTGACAGCTTCACAATGACATCATAGATTGCTACACAATTTTACAGGGAAGATAAAATCAAGGAAGATTCCTTAAAGAACTTTGCTCTCTGGTAAGAGACTGTTTACAGTTGAGAATACAGTTGGAAGATTGTTTGTCAGATAAAACAGGGATAAGGCAATTTATTCACCAGTTATGTCATAGTGAAAATAAATTAAAGACAAACTAAGTACTTTCATAAAATTTAAGCCTATTTTATACAACTGATTTTATTAAGTTATATTTTGTATTACGCTACGTATTACTATACACTACACATTGGCTTTAGAACGTCGCTTTTAGAGACCATTAGATGTTTTTGATGTTACGAAATAAGGTTCTTTATCTTTTCTATGAATTACCCAGATAAATTGCAACAACGTGCAAACAGCAGCTTGAAAGATCTTCTGTATTTCTTGTCACGTATTCCATATATAAAAGCATTTGTCACGGAGTTTGTTGCAGCCACAAGTGCTGCTATATGAACTACGTTTAAAGAAATACAGCCATCATTACAAATGGTATAATCTATGAACAATATCACAGGAAAAGGTGTTACACAGAGTAAAAAATATCCAAAAACGACACGAATTGTTTTGAAGAGTTTCAATTGTCGTGTGAAGTTTTTTCGTGAGCTCAAATCATCTGTAGCGGTTGAATTACTTCTTTGTAGTTTTGAACCTTCTGATGCTATTTTTTGACCTTGGTTTCGAGCAATTCGTACAATTTTCACATTGAAAACGATCATAACACCAAGTGGAAGAAGAAAGAATAAAATAGTGCAAATTGAAACAACTACTTTGCTTGGATAACATTCAAATGGTAATTTGGAACTTTTTGTATTGAAAAACATCATAATAAAACTAAGAAAGCCAGTGATCCATACTGAAGCCAAAGCCATGGACACCTTCCTTTGGGTGACAATGTAAGGATACTTTAGGGGTAATGCAATACAAATGTAGCGATCAATTGTGAGCATCATAAGATTCACAACTGATGTCGATATGGTCGCGTACCAAAGGGAATAGTTCAGTTTACATAGTACAACAGATAGTTTGGTTATTCCTATCAAAATTTAGTTATTGTTACAATAGTCAGCGGAAGAGTGATCCCACAAACGATAAGATCTGAAACAGCCAAACTTATAACAAAATAGCTGCTTGTATTTTTATCTGTATTCCAACGAACATTGTACAATATCACAAAATGTTTCCTGTAACTCCAATAATTACACACAATGATTGACCCGTTACTTCAAATATTAAAACGCTTGGGACTGCTCATCATTTGTATGATTCATTTCTTTTGCACACTCTTTATTGCCGTCTCTTAATACGATTGAAGGAACAGCTTTATATAGTTTCACTTTATTCCAAAGCCATCATCAGAGTATATATATAATACATTAATCCAACATAGATCCTTAAAATTAATATCCTTATGACATATAGTTTCACTTTAAGTTGTCAAACACCAGCTGAACTGTGCGCATCATGGCAACGCATCAAACAACGCAGATGTGTCCTTAAAAGTTCATTTAGATGACAAATAATGACATAAAACATTGTTTTACGATATTTGACAACTGAGCATTTTAAGTAAAATTATTTTAAAATGTAGAGTTTCAAGTTGAAAACTTTCGAGTGTAATGTCAGTGTGTTAAAAACGACACGATGGATATATTATTCATGGGGTTTTGGTTATTGCTATGAAAAATTAATAACTTATGAAATTTTCTAATTTTTAACAATGTAGAGGCGCACATGCAAAAGTTTCTCTACAGGTTGTTTATACTATCTTAATGGAAATGTCTTGTTGCAAACCCCTGTGGCTTTTAGTGAAAATATGTTAAAGTAAGATATATTTGTTTTTGTTCATATAACTAAATAGCTGTTTCCCGAGTTCGAGGTTTCTTTAGTTATTACAAGCAATCGTTGAAAAAGTAAAGTATATATTAACAATAAAATAGAGACTTTGTCGTGGTAACAAATCTGAAAATATTTTAAAGATAGAAAATACCATTGTGAATGGTAAAAGTAATATAATAAGTTGATAGTTCTTAAAAGAACTGTTTTAGAAAAGAGCACTAACCCAATAGTTCTAAATTAAACGACATGATGCATGTGAGCCGACTACTCCTAAGGTGTCAACGTATTGAGCTGATTCTTATTCAGACGACAATTTTAGAATCATTAAGAAATACCGTTCATTTTTTCAGTTAAGCGTCATGAAAGATGTTTTAATTAAGTTAACCAATCCCGTCCTCCGCCGACAAAAGGATTATGTTTTAATTTATCCCTGTTTTAAGCGTCATCTTCGCTTTTGGACATGGCATTATAAATATCGGTAGATTGTAAAATATCATTTAGCAGACGTTGACACTTGAGGTGTAGTCTGCCGAAGTGCATCATGTCGTTTAATTTAGAACTATTGGTTTAGTGCTCTTTACTTAAAACAGTTCTTTTAAGAACAATCAACTATTACTTTTATCGTTCACTATGGTATTTGCGATGAAAATATATAAATGAAAATATAAAATCTACTAATATTTATAATGCCAAGAAAGAGTGTACTTCATCACCAAAGGAGATGACGCTCAAAACAGCGATTAATTGAAAACATAATTTCATAAAATTTCTTTAGAACTATTGGGTTAGTGGTCTTTACTTAAAACTGTCTGTTAAGAACTACTACCTTATTACTTTTACCATTCACTATGGTATTTGCTATCTTTAGAACTAAATATTAACACTAAAAATAAAGTCTCGTAGCTATAAGAACATGATATGACTTCGTGTAGAGATGTTAGAATCATTTTTTGCATATTGTGCATACGAAGATAAATGTCCAACTGTGTAATGAGTTAACGCTGACACATCATTACTACCTCTACACTCCCAATGTGACAATTCAACGAAATTAGGACAGTTTGAGAAATTTTTCGCAATTCGCAATTTCAGAAATGTTTACTGTTGTTTACGTGTTACGAAATATGTATAAATACTAAATGTTTTGTAAATATGCATATCATCAAAATTAAAAAGACGAAACTATGATTGTAGAATTATTTTTTAACTCCGACAAATAAACTTCTTTCAATAGAGTTATATAATTTATTGCCCGCGTTTTACGAAGGAGATCACGCGACAAAATTTTGTGTTTTTAGAGCTCTTGTTTGTCGTGCGACCAGCGTGTTAAACAATATTGAGCTACGTTTATCCTGATATTTTGAACACAAGATGTGTTTTTAAAAGTTTATTTAGATGGACTTGTCGTCGTTTGAAAATAACAATATTTTTAAAGAAGTATTTTAAAGTGCATTCATTTATATTTTATAAATGTTTACGTTTCAGGCTTAAAAATTCACGAATGAAATATAAATGCATCAAAAAAAGAAAGAATAGTTGTATCTTGTTTGTGATGCTATAGTTGTTGCCATGACTATGAACGGTTAGTCGAGTGGACTAACATGCTCGAGTGCATGCGCAGATGATTTCTATATTAAATTGTTACTAAGCATTCTATAACTCCAAAATCGGTACTAGTAGATGCAGTTGATCGTTGCCATGAACATGAACTTCGGCAGCTGCTCAAGTCGACAGCGCATGCTCAAGCACACTGCGCATGCGCAGATTAATAATCTGAAAATTTATGACTGAGCGCTCTTATTACTCCATAATCGGTACTAATACATACAGTTCGTCATTGTCATGATAATGAACTTGGAGAGTTGGTGCAGTTGATTACACATGCATGCTGAGATTAATTCTCAAGCGATGGAGCTCTGAAATTGGTGCTTATAGGTGCGTTTACCAAACTTTCAACCATATATTTTTTAAACGTACTTTGTCTTCTTAAGATTGTTTTGAGAAGTGCTTATTAAACTCGTCAACACTTTGTTACGCCACTCGTAATATTTGTGACAATGTTAGTGATTTTTTTAATTTTTTCCATAACTTTGTATCTTAATATTTTGTGCATAAATTATGCTCTAATATTTTTCACAGATATTATAATTCGTCGATTGCGGTAGAAGAATACTTGAAAATGAAATTCTAACTGTGAAACAAAATCAAGCATGGCAGAGAAGGAACAACGACGCCAGTTTAAATGTAGCTTTATGAAATTGAACGTAGCTCATGCACATATCGTACGCTCGAGGGTTTTGGATGAGGACTCGTTGACCAATGAAAACACGAATGATTCCAAGCATGTCGACGACAATAAAAGCTCTAACAAGGACGATGCTCATATACAGAAACAATCCGTTAGTAAGAAGGAGTCTACGGAAGATATGTTTAAAAGAACAATCATTGAATCGTATATACATTTTGGAAGCTCGTTGGCTCACGTGGAATATAGTAGTGGGAACTGTTCATGATGTTGCTGAAAATATGTAAAAATAACTGCCTGAGACTTTTCTTTAGGACGAGGAATCTGATTTCGAAAGTGAAGAGGAAGCAATCACCACAAGAAACTTGCAAGAAGATTCAATGTGTACTCTGCAAGCTTTGTATACACATATAGAGTATTGTGAGAAGAGTACTCTAAGGAATGCTGTTGAAGAGGGATAGTACAAGGACAACAGGGAATGCCGTGGATTCTCAGTTTGATTGTAGAAGGATTAGTTCACGTTTATTCACAGGTATAGAAAAAAATATGAAGAATTTTTATTTATCTCAATAAATATATATAAAGACTTAATATTTGCTGTTTTTCTCTAATTTTTTGCCAATTGGGTACGATTCAAGCAAACGCATTTTGACATGTTTGGTTTTCTATTGTTACAATTGTGAAATTTCATTTCAATTTTCATATCGACTTAAATTATTTTCAACTGAATTAAATAAGATAAAATGAAGGACAGATATATAAAATATGAAAATACGTTACATTTTCTTTTGAAAAATCTTTAAAATCATCAGTGTTTGTAAAGGACAAAGAGAAACTAATTTTTTCTATCAATCAGAAACCTATATTTTATAATTCCATTTTATGTTGTTGCCTTGATCCTTTTTATCTCTTATTCTTCTCTGGGATATCAGTTTTTAAAGATAGAGGATCCTGTCCGACGTAAAGTTCAAACTGCTTCTGTTATTGGAAAGAACGACACAAGAGGTTTTGAGCTTTCTCCACCTGAGGTGGACATGGGGGTACTTAAAGAAGGTCACACGTATGTACATTCGGTGATATTAAGGAACATTGGTATTGATATCTGTAGATTCAAAGTACGACAACCTCCTCCATCGACTGGTATCAAAGTTTTGTTTAATCATGGTCCTGTAAGTTTTTTGTTTTCAATTAATTATATATTCTTAAATACCCTTTCTACTGATTATAATCCCCTAAGTATACCCCCTTTACCCTCAGTATAACCTATTGCGTGTGTATAGTTCACTATAAATTAGCATCAATGATAATTTCAAGGCATACGACTCAAAATTTTGCTATTTAAATTATATTTTCACTCAAAAGGATTTTGAAAATGACAGCGTATTTTCTCAAACAGTGTACGTACATTGCTTCTCATTCTCAAGATATTGAAGTTTTTATAATTCGCTTTACACAAATTTTTACATCAATTTGCATTTAACAAAGTTTTAAGCATCCTTTGGTTTCGTTGAAATGATCAAGCAATACTTAATACCATTAGGGAGAGAATGAAGGGAATTCAACTCTGTTGAAGTAAAATATCAGCAAATGTACCTGCTATTTCAAATTTCCGTTATGCAATGTGACGTCACATGCTGTGTAAAGCGTACAGTGCATAAACCACAATATCTTGAGAACGAAAATTGATATGAATAAACTGTTTCGAAGATTTTATTACATAAATTATAAATTTTATTTATATCTTCTTGTGACCCGAAAGTTACAATCGCTTTCAAAATTATAGCATCATAGAAGCTGATTCCATGAGTCCGCGTTAACTGGAGTTCAGAGAGGCGGAAATGATTTGGAGTCATCGAAAGGAGCAAAATTTTAAGCGCAAAACTTTTCTTAAGCGTAGTTGTAATTTTCAAATCATGCACAATCATTTGTTTTCATTTTAAAGATTTTGTAAATTTGCAAAGTCAGAGCATAAAGAAATTGCTCAAACAAGTTTTTACCTTGTCGTGAAGTATTTAATCTTTTCCATTTGCCAAAATGATTTAACGCTTCGCTGAATCCCGGCTACCGGGCTCATGTGAACAGGCCCTTAAATTTGTATTCAAGTTGTATTTACTCGTTTTTAGTGAATTTTGACTACCATTTACGGTGTTCAAAGCGTGTATTGTTCATGGTCAGCGAGGGAATAAAGAAAAGAATAAAGCTATTTAATTGTGAAGTCTGTGTTTTAATTTATTCACTGAACATATGTATGAATTTGCTTTGCAAATACATATGGTAGTTTTACTGTCGTCAAAGTTTTCGATGGTTCATAAAAAGTTTTCACAAGTTAGTGGTAAGACGTGACCTTTGTGAAGAAAAGACTGTCAACACAACAAGATATAAAATGGAAGGATGGAATAAGCTAAAGCTTAAAATAACAAACTTCTAGAATGTGAAGAAAATAGCGAAAGATTTACTTGTGTCTTAAGTATTGACGATGTAACAGTCGAAGAAGATAGCTATTAACAACTGGCTTGGTAAACTTGCCCTCGAGGTAATGTCATTTTAATCAACTGTAAAGCGGAAACTTCCGGCCATTAACGTTTTCCACTCACCAGAACTGTGAAGAACTCAAGTGCTGAAAAGTCAACGAAACAAGTTAACGCAATTTCTACACTCGACTGGCAAGGAAAATGAAATGTTGAAATAAGGCGTATTATCTTTAATGCTGATTAAGGATGCTTAGTCCAAACGTTCCTCGTAAACATATTGATGGTTTGCAAAGGTTTGTGGGATGGAGTGAAGACAACCGTGGTGTCGATTTTATGTATTACAGGACAAGCAGGGTTAAGGTTTTGAAGAAGACACCAGTTATTATCTTTATTTTCCCTCTCACATTTGTTACTGTTTCAGGTTCAAGACCAATCGTCGATAACATGAGAATGTTCATAGTTGTAAAATCATTAATCACCTGTCCCAAAGTCTTGGTTTTTGGTCATGTTGTTTAATATAAACCTTCAGACAGTTTACATTGCCAAACCATTTCACCAGCATCCATCAATATGGCGACTTCGTCTATTTCAACGTGAGAGACATGACTTTGAAGATATGCAAAAGAGATCAAAATTAGCAAGTAAATTGGTTAAAAGGTAATCACTGTTTAATCATAAAATAGTTATTCATATTCATGACGCGAGATTGACTTTATACATTGTTATTACGTGAAGAAACATATTATAGTATTACTAAGCAAAATTCAAAATAAGGTGACAGCTTCACAATGACATCATAGATTGCTACACAATTTTACAGGGAAGATAAAATCAAGGAAGATTCCTTAAAGAACTTTGCTCTCTTGGTAAGAGACTGTTTACAGTTGAGAATACAGTTGGAAGATTGTTTGTCAGATAAAACAGGGATAAGGCAATTTATTCACCAGTTATGTCATAGTGAAAATAAATTAAAGACAAACTAAGTACTTTTCATAAAATTTAAGCCTATTTTATACAACTGATTTTATTAAGTTATATTTTGTATTACGCTACGTATTACTATACACTACACATTGGCTTTAGAACGTCGCTTTTAGAGACCATTAGATGTTTTTGATGTTACGAAATAAGGTTCTTTATCTTTTCTATGAATTACCCAGATAAATTGCAACAACGTGCAAACAGCAGCTTGAAAGATCTTCTGTATTTCTTGTCACGTATTCCATATATAAAAGCATTTGTCACGGAGTTTGTTGCAGCCACAAGTGCTGCTACCTCAAGTACGTATAAAGAAATACAGCCATCATTGCAAATGGTATAATCTATGAACAATATCACAGGAAAAGGTGTTACACAGAGTAAAAAATATCCAAAAACGACACGAATTGTTTTGAAGAGTTTCAATTGTCGTGTGAAGTTTTTTCGTGAGCTCAAATCATCTGTAGCGGTTGAATTACTTCTTTGTAGTTTTGAACCTTGTGATGCTATTTTTCGACCTTGGTTTCGAGCAATTCGTACAATTTTCACATTGAAAACGATCATAACACCAAGTGGAAGAAGAAAGAATAAAATAGTGCAAATTGAAACAACTACTTTGCTTGGATAACATTCAAATGGTAATTTGGAACTTTTTGTATTGAAAAACATCATAATAAAACTAAGAAAACCAGTGATCCATACTGAAGCCAAGGCCATGGACACCTTCCTTTGGGTGACAATGTAAGGATACTTTAGGGGTAATGCAATACAAATGTAGCGATCAATTGTGAGCATCATAAGATTCACAACTGATGTCGATATGGTCGCGTACCAAAGGGAATAGTTCAGTTTACATAGTACAACAGATAGTTTGGTTATTCCTATCAAAATTTAGTTATTGTTACAATAGTCAGCGGAAGAGTGATCCCACAAACGATAAGATCTGAAACAGCCAAACTTATAACAAAATAGCTGCTTGTATTTTTATCTGTATTCCAACGAACATTGTACAATATGACAAAAATGTTTCCTGTAACTCCAATAATTACACACAATGATTGACCCGTTACTTCAAATATTAAAAACGCTTGGGACTGCTCATCATTTGTATGATTCATTTCTTTTGCACACACTTTATTGCCGTTTCTTAATACGATTGAAGGAACAGCTTTATATAGTTTCACTTTAAGTTGTCAAACACCAGCTGAACTGTGTGCATCATGGCAACGCATTAACACAACACAGATGCGCTCTTAAAAATTAATTTAGATGACAATTATTGACATAAAAACATTTTTTTACGATATTTTAACAATTAAAATATTTTAAATGAAGATATGATCTTCGCACTTTGCTGGACAATTTAAGCAATTGTCTCATGAACCTGAAAAATTCAGGTGACTCAACGGGATTCGAACCCATAACCTCTGCGGTGCCGATGTAGTGCTCTGACCAACTGAGCTATGAAGTCACACTCAGTGCTCTGACCAACTGAGCTATGAAGTCACACTCAGTGCTCTGACCAACTGAGCTATGAAGTCACACAGTGGTGAGCAGGTCAATTTTTTTGGGCTCATGTTTTCTCGTGAAAGGAATGTCATATGAAGAATGTTTTATGCAGTGCGGTGTTTGAAATTAAATGAAGATATGATCTTAGCACTTTGTTGGACAATTTAAGCAATTTTCTCATGAACCTTAAAAATTCAGGTGACTCAACGGGATTCGAACCCATGACCTCTGTGGTGCCGGTGCAGTGCTCTGACCAACTGAGCTATGAAGTCAGACAGTGTGACTTCATAATTCAAAATTTTCAATAAACGCGCTTTTTGTCTTTTTAAGCTGGTTTTGACAAGTGCTTATAAAACTCATCAACATTTTGTTACGCCACTCGTAATATTTGTGCTAATATTAGAGATATTTTACTTTTCTCTATAACTTTGTATCTTAATATTTTGTGCATAAACAATGCTCTAATATTTTTCACAGATATTATAATTCGTTGATTGCGGTAGAAGAATACTTGAAAATGAAATTTCTAACTGTGAAACAAAATCAAGCATGGCAGAGATGGAGCAACGACGCCAGACGCCAGTTTAAAAATAGCTTTATGAAATTGGACGTAGTTCAAGCACCTACGCGTACGCTCGAGGGTTTTGGATGAGGACTCGTTGACCAATGAAAACACGAATTATTCCAAGCATGTTGATGACGATAAGAGCTCGATGAATCATATATACAGTTTGGAAGCTCGTTGGCTCACGTGGAATATAGTAGTGGGAACTGTTCATGATGTTGCTGAAGATATGTAAAAATAACTACCTGTCTCTTTCTTTTTGTATGAGAAACCTGATTTCTAAAGTGAAGAGGAAGCAATCACCACAAGAGATTTGCAAGAAGATTTAAATTGTAATCTGTAAACTTTGTATATAGAGATGGAGTATTGTGAAAAGAGTATTCTAAGGAATGCTATTGACGAGAGATAGTATAAAGACCAACAGAGAATGCGATGGATTCTCTTTTAGATTGTAGAAGGATTAGTTCACGTTTATTCATAGGTAGAAAAAAAAGGGAACAATTTTCGTTTACCTGATTAAATATATATAAAAATTATTATTTGCTATTTTTTTCTAATTTTTTGCTAATAGGTACGTATGAAGTAAATGCGTTTCGACATTTTTGGTTTTGTATTGTTATATTTTTTAGGTGTTTTCTTTAAAAAGTCAACTTAAGTCAGGGAAAAAGACTTTGGTCTTTGTATTTATTAAAAAGCAAACCTATGTCGCAAATTACAAGCAAATAACATGACTTCAGAAAAGCTTGACGCTGAAGAAGGTCAATGGAGCAAAAAAAAGCTGTTATGATGGAGATGAGTATCCTGATTTGATGAATATCCTTCACACTGCGAGAAATTCAAGAGTTCGGAATAAATTTGAAGTGTTGCAAATGCTTTGAAAAAGGAGGGTTTGCATCAGTCGTCAAAGTGACTTTTATTACTTTTGAAGAAAGTTTCAAGATGACAACATTGCAGATTGTTGTCGAATGATCAATTGTTTTTATAATAGCGTTAAATTTATTCACTAATCATGTCAAAGTCAACAATATAATCCAAGATAGAAATCCACATTTTATTTACATATCTGAAAGTATTTTATATAACTCATTTTAAATTATATTTTGTACTGCATTGAGCTTTGATTTCTACAAGGATCTCCTAAAGTGAATGTACATCAGTGAATTCATTTGTTTTTTGAACTATGTTTTCCACCAGATGCAAGAACTTTAATAGTAGTTCGGGTAGTTGAGTTTAATGATAGCCATGTTCAGCATTTATAAAGTTCAGAATCTCCGAGAGTGATGGAGTAGGGATCTTTTTTAAACACCCCATTCTTGTTAGACACATGTTATGCTAGAATGTTCTTTACTGTATTAACTACCCATATAAATTGTAGCATCGCGCAAATATTTGCTTGAAAGATCTTCTGTATTTCTTATCTCGTATTCCATAAATGAAAGCATTTGTAACGGAGTTTGATGCAGCCAGAAGCGTAGTTCCAACAAGAATGTTTAGAGGGATACAGCTATGATCGCAAATGACAAACTCGATAAAACATATCACAGGAAATGGTGTAATACAGAATAAAAAACAACCAAAAACGGCACGGATTGTTTTGAAAAGTTTCAATTGTTGTGAAAACTTTTTTCGTGAGTTCAAATCAGATGTAGCCGATGAATTAATTGTTTGTGATAATGAAGCTTGTGCTGCTATTTTTCTACCTTGACTTCGAGCAATTTGTACAGTTTTCACATTAAAAACGATCGTAACACCAAGTGGAACAAGTAAAAGAAAAAGTACCAACGGAAACAGCTATTTGGTCGACATCACATATGAATGGCACATCGCTAGGTTTCGATGTGAAAAATATCATAAGAAAATTAAAAAAGCCAGTGATCCACACTGAAACCAAAGCTATAGACACCTTTCTTTGCGTGACAATGTGAGGATACTTTAGGGGTAATGCAATACAAATGTAACGATCAATTGTGAGCATCATGAGATTTACAATAGAAAGCGATATACTTGCGCACAAAATGGAAATGGTTAATTCACAAGATACGTCAGTCTTTTCCATCAAAATGCGTGTCGCATCTGTGATAAGCGTGGGGAAAGTTATCCCACAAACGACAAGATCCGACAAAGCCAAATTAGTAATAAAACAACTGGTCGTATTTTTATCTGTGTTCCAACGAACATTGTACAATATCACCAAAACGTTTCCTGTAACTCCAATTATTATATACAATGATTCAAATGTCATTAGAAATATGAACAAATTTTGTGGTATTTGGTTGTTTGTAGAATTCATTGTTCTTTTTCATCAGTTTTTAGTCTCGTTTGTAAGAGAATCCTTGGATGAAATAAGAACAACAGCTTTCGTATCAACCTAAGTAGTCGAATGCTAATTGAACTGCGTTCATGACAACGTTAACACCAGATGTGTTTTTAAAACTTTATTTAGATGGCTAATTTTGATATGACAAAATGCGTTTATGATAATTCTGTAAAGTAGTCATTACGATGTGTTAAATATGATTGTTTTAAAAACGTGGTCATTTATAATTGATGAATATGTCATATACATACTTCATAAGAGGGAGAGAGGGAGAGAATAGTCCTGTGTTATTTGTAGAACTAAAAAAAAAAGTATACTCTATAAAGGTTCACTATTTTGCTTTTATCTGGAGGTAATTGTAATAGTTTCGTTGCAGATTGTATTGTCTCAGGTAAAATTGCCTTATCGGATTCCCCTGTGGCTTTTTTTATTAAATGAAGACACCATTTTCGATTTTTTGTTATTATGAATAACGAAGTTTTCAGGTTCATGAGACAATTGCTTAAATTGTCCAGCAAAGTGCGAAGATCATATCTTCATTTAATTTCAAACACCGCACTGCATATAGCAATTCTTCAAATAACGAAATATTTCCTCGGTTTTTTCTTTAGTTGTTACAAGCAAATGGCTTCTAACAATAAAGTCTCGTTTTATGATCGTCTGATATGAATTAATTCTTCTTTGAACAGCTTTTACATAAAACGTCACCGAAACGATTAGAACTATTTATAGCGTGTAAAAATTTATCGTGTTAAAACGTCGCCGAAACGATTAGAACTATTTATAGCGTGTAAAAATTTATCGTGTTAAAACGTCGCCGAAACGATTAGAACTATTTATAGCGTGTAAAAATTTATCGTGTTAGAGACTAGAAAACGTCAAAAATTGTGTGAGTATTAAGTGAAAACAGTTTTGCGTACTTGTCTAGAGCTATTTTGAATGCTTAAACTCGGTATAACTAATTTTATAATGAACATAATAGCCCAGCTTATTGTAATGACATGAATTGCCATTTTAGAAAATAATAATTTAAGGAAAGAATTTTATTGACGTTTTGTCGCAACTCGCGACATCTCCAAAATAATGATATAATGTTGTTAAAATGGTCAAACTTAGAAATATAATGTTGTTAAAATGGTCAAACTTAGAAATATAATGTTGTTAAAATGGTCAAACGTAGAAATATAATGTTAAAATGGTCAAATGTAGAAATATAATGTTGTTAAAATGGTCAAACTTGGAAATATAATGTTGTTAAAATGGTCAAATGTAGAAATATAATGTTGTTAAAATGGTCAAACTTGGAAATATAATGTTGTTAAAATGGTCAAACGTAGAAATATAATGTTGTTAAAATGGTCAAATGTAGAAATATAATGTTGTTAAAATGGTCAAACTTAGAAATATAATGTTGTTAAAATGGTCAAACATAGAAATATAATGTTGTTAAAATGGTCAAATGTAGAAATATAATGTTGTTAAAATGATCAAACTTAGAAATATAATGTTGTTAAAATGGTCAAACATAGAAATATAATGTTAAAATGGTCAAATGTAGAAATATAATGTTGTTAAAATGGTCAAACTTAGAAATATAATGTTGTTAAAATGGTCAAACATAGAAATATAATGTTAAAATGGTCAAATGTAGAAATATAATGTTGTTAAAATGGTCAAACATAGAAATATAATGTTAAAATGGTCAAATGTAGAAATATAATGTTGTTAAAATGGTCAAACGTAGAAATATAATGTTGTTAAAATGGTCAAACGTAGAAATATAATGTTGTTAAAATGGTGAAACTTAGAAATATAATGTTGTTAAAATGGTCAAACTTAGAAATATAATGTTGTTAAAATGGTCAAACTTAGAAATATAATGTTGTTAAAATGGTCAAACTTAGAAATATAATGTTGTTGAAATGGTCAAACTTAGAAATATAATGTTTTTAAAATGGTCAAACTTAGAAATATAGTGTTGTTGAAATGGTCAAACTTAGAAATATAATGTTGTTAAAATGGTGAAACTTAGAAATATATTGTTGTTGAAATGGTCAAACTTAGAAATATAGTGTTGTTAAAATGGTCAAACTTAGAAATATAATGTTGTTAAAATGGTCAAACATAGAAATATAATGTTGTTAAAATGGTCAAATGTAGAAATATAATGTTGTTAAAATGATCAAACTTAGAAATATAATGTTGTTAAAATGGTCAAACATAGAAATATAATGTTAAAATGGTCAAATGTAGAAATATAATGTTGTTAAAATGGTCAAACTTAGAAATATAATGTTTTAAAATGGTCAAACGTAGAAATATAATGTTGTTAAAATGGTCAAACTTAGAAATATAATGTTGTTAAAATGGTCAAACATAGAAATATAATGTTAAAATGGTCAAATGTAGAAATATAATGTTGTTAAAATGGTCAAACTTAGAAATATAATGTTGTTAAAATGGTCAAACGTAGAAATATAATGTTGTTAAAATGGTCAAACGTAGAAATATAATGTTGTTAAAATGGTGAAACTTAGAAATATAATGTTGTTAAAATGGTCAAACTTAGAAATATAATGTTGTTAAAATGGTCAAACTTAGAAATATAATGTTGTTAAAATGGTCAAACTTAGAAATATAATGTTGTTGAAATGGTCAAACTTAGAAATATAATGTTTTAAAATGGTCAAACTTAGAAATATAATGTTGTTGAAATGGTCAAACTTAGAAATATAATGTTGTTAAAATGGTGAAACTTAGAAATATATTGTTGTTGAAATGGTCAAACTTAGAAATATAGTGTTGTTAAAATGGTCAAACTTAGAAATATAATGTTGTTAAAATGGTCAAACTTAGAAATATAATGTTGTTAAAATGGTCAAACTTAGAAATATAATGTTGTCAAAATGGTCAAACTTAGAAATATAATGTTGTTAAAATGGTCAAACTTAGAAGTATAATGTTGTTAAAATGGTCAAACTTAGAAATATAATGTTGTCAAAATGGTCAAACTTAGAAATATAATGTTGTTAAAATGGTCAAACGTAGAAATATAATGTTGTTAAAATGGTCAAACTTAGAAATATAATGTTGTTGAAATGGTCAAACTTAGAAATATAATGTTTTTAAAATGGTCAAACTTAGAAATATAATGTTGTTGAAATGGTCAAACTTAGAAATATAATGTTGTTAAAATGGTGAAACTTAGAAATATATTGTTGTTGAAATGGTCAAACTTAGAAATATAGTGTTGTTAAAATGGTCAAACGTAGAAATATAATGTTGTTAAAATGGTCAAACTTAGAAATATAATGTTGTTAAAATGGTAAAACTTAGAAATATAATGTTGTCAAAATGGTCAAACTTAGAAATATAATGTTGTCAAAATGGTCAAACTTAGAAATATAATGTTGTTAAAATGGTCAAACGTAGAAATATAATGTTGTTAAAATGGTCAAACTTAGAAATATAATGTTGTTAAAATGGTCAAACGTAGAAATATAATGTTGTTAAAATGGTCAAACTTAGAAATATAATGTTGTTAAAATGGTGAAACTTAGAAGTATAATGTTGTTAAAATGGTCAAACTTAGAAATATAATGTTAAAATGGTCAAACTTAGAAATATAATGTTGTTAAAGTGGTCAAACTTAGAAATATAATGTTGTTAAAATGGTGAAACTTAGAAGTATAATGTTGTTAAAATGGTCAAACTTAGAAATATAATGTTAAAATGGTCAAACTTAGAAATATAATGTTGTTAAAGTGGTCAAACTTAGAAATATAATGTTGTTAAAATGGCCAAACTTAGAAAAACGACATTGGATTAGTGATTTATTTCATCAAAGCTTTTGAGCGATATCAAAGACTCTACATCAAAATAATTTCAATCGATTATAGCTAAATAAGAATGAAAATGATCAAAACATTCATCTTTGAATAAAGGAAGGATTTTGTTATTGCTGACTTTAGTTTTGCAGAGCAAACTAGAGTATGCAGTAATTTATCGTAACTAGTTCTTTAATTTCACCAGAGTGTGATATTTTTCATTTTAGTAGCTACAAGCGGAGAAAGTCTTTGAAAAATGATCTCAAAGCTGATGCAGATGGTAAATATTTTTTAAACTTGGTTTCTATTTATTTTTTAATGTTCACTGTCGCTATCATGAAAACAATATATTCAATTATGTCGTTGTTTTCTTTATTTATATTTGGCTAAACTGGAATACGGCAAACATGCATTACGTCATCATGAAGATCCGCCATATTTCGAAACGGCGAACGGGCAAGCTTTTCTCAGTGTTTTAAATCGTTGTTCTGCTATGTTGAAGCTCAATGCTGAACTCGACAAACAAGCTTGTCCAGTTTCTAGTTCGCTTCACACTACATTGAATAGATCAACAGAAATTTAAGTCGTCCAGTTCATCTTACTCCTGTTAAAGTTGGTGGTGTACCAGCACGACCCACCAACCCCACCCCCCGTCAAACATCGATTGTCTCGAGTAATGAAAATGCTTTAGATTCCTTCCCGTACCAAATAATCTATAGTCCGAAGTTCGACTTTAGAATCATCGTTGGAATTGCAACATGAAGTATTGAGTTCAGATGTTACGTCATCTAGTAAGTGATACTTGGTGCAATATTTGAAAATATTGGACATTGGAAAAATTTGAATTTACTTGTGAGGTCACAGCTTACATTATAAGTGCCTCGGTATTGCAGTCATATCTTGCTAGATTAAGGTTAGGGTTAGGGTTGGGGTTAGGGTTAGGGTTAGGATTAAGCTTAGGATTAGGGTTAGGAGACCGTTTAATGGTTTTTTGATGACCTCACCAATTAACATCTTAACGCTTAAAACCAAAATATTTGCGTTATTTAATAAGCTGAATAAATTTAATTAATAAACGAATTGCGTAATGTTACAGAA